GGCACCCAGTGCCTTACTCAACCGAGTACCAACATAACGTATCTTTCGTGTCATACTACCGTAGGTAAATGAGCCAGAAAGGTGATCATGAGATAACTGGAATAAACATGAGGAAATACTCGACATAGGATGACCCAATATGATATATCGACTAATACATATGACGTACTATAAGGCCAAAAAAATCACTCGTACATTGAACATAGGCCGACAAGGCCATACAATCTTTCATATACATAACATATGTACAAGACACTAAGAGTACATAAACGTCATAAGGGTCGGGGCAGGGCCCTGCCATACCGAACAATACAGGTCCAAATCATACTGACCAAATAGGGAACTCCGGAGCAAATAGAGCGCACCAACACCTTCTGCTGAGCTGATAGCTTACTTGGAGGACTCTCAACCTGTCTATCGAGACCCCCAGGCATGAAATACAATGTCCCCAGAAAAAAGAGACGTCAGTACAAATAATGTACCAAGTATGTAAGGGATGAAAATCAGTAAACAATAGACATGAGAGAAACATGGAGTAAAAGACTCAACATGTAAGTCTGAATAAATATGTGAATCATTAATATTTATAATGCCATGCATATGCGTATAAATTTCATACCATACATAGGTATATGCATTCATAACATCATCAAGCCTCTGGGGGCATCCCATCATATCATCTCGGCCACTATGGGCAAAATCATCAACGTATACCAGCTGATCAGGTGGTGGTGCGTACATAACGCCGTAACCTTTTCCCTTATCCCATATACATATAATATACGCGTATATAACGTCATCTGGTCATGGGTCAATGTACATGTATAAATGAATGGAATGCATATGAAGTACGTTCATAAGATCTTTCGGTATGTCATAAAATCAATATGCCTTTGATTAATATCATGAAATAAACTTTGTCAACTTACGTATTTTCTGAGATCCATGAACAGACAATAGAATAATAAGACACATGGGGAATCAAGAACATAGGCACTTCTTGTACTTCTATAAATAGAGTCATTTATGAAAGTTGTGCATTTTCTCGTTTCGTTTGTATCATATGGATCATTCCAAAAAGAAAGGGATAGCCTTAACATACCTTACTTGACGAATTTATCAAACACTTTTACTTGAGCTTGCCAAGAACAACTTTTTCTCCTTCTAAATCTATGAACAATAACTAAGCACTTCTTATGATCATGGCATATTTCATGTTGCTGGACATATGAGTATCATGGATGTATGTTTTTGCTATGTTTCTAAAGTAAGAGACTCTCTATTAATAGAAGGAAAGATTTCAACCTTCTTTCTACATCTTAATTGCAAAAGAAGTATATCATGAGGCTTAAAGGCTTGCATTGTCACGTGTAAACAAGGCACACCAAATGCTATGACTCATGTGCACTTTGGTGCCACCCTTGGCCAACTTTATGCCATGTGGCAGCCCATAAATTCCCCTAAAATGCCACCTAACCTAATAAACCAAAGAGTCACCATTTGTCTTGATCAAGACCCATACTTGCTGCCACGTTGGGAGGCTTATCAAGCTTATCTAAACATTTTTATTACCATCCACCCCAATAATTTGCTGACTAAGCCACCAAAGCTCCCTAATCTTGCCACCTAGCTCCAAGACTTGCCTGGTCAATATCGAATTTTTTACTTGTTGCCACCTCAATCCTTATAAAATTTATTAGTCATGACCCCCCCTATCCTCGTGATTCCACGTGGATTCATACAAATGACACTTATCCACTTATAACTAATTCCATATTCCATAACTTTATACCAACATTTCCCCAATTATTCACACAATAATTTCTATGTCTCGATTCACTTAAATACAAATATATTTTATATATCTTACTATCATGATCATGTGGTATAACACTAGTCCATAAATATAGGGTATTATAGCTTGGACCATATTTTATCCAAAATGTCATACTTTGACGAAACTCATCTTTTTTCAACTCGTTTACCCTATGACCTTCACACATACTTATCACTTGTTATAAATAGCATAAATAATTATAACCTCAAAAATAGTCTTGTCATTGAACTTATGTCAATTATCTTATGACAAATCCAACGTAGAAAAGTACGGGATTTAACATCCTTCCCCTCTTTCAAAATATTCGTCCCCAAATGTTAGCTCTTAGAGTTTTTCAAAACTTTTGCTAGGGCCCTCTCTGTAAACTAAACTAAAACTCAATCTGTGTTTGAAGTCTGGACTATTCACAACCTTCTGCACTTGAGTATCTCGTATTTTCTTATCCTTACTCATGCCTTTTATGTAGGTATAGATAATCAGTTTGACGAGCCCTCATAGTAGATGAGGTTAGCATTCAGCAAAATCGGTAAGACTCCACCTCGTTCGGAGTGCAACCGAGTCTATGAGTTATCGTATCAGAGTTTTGTTACAGACTTATAGGTAGGCCGGTACCCTATCCCATTTGATGTCGAATAATCTTACAGGCTTTGTAGACAGAGGTTCATTTAGTATAGTATGTCAGAGGCCTTGACGACCCATATGTAATCATGTTTTAAGAACAATGGTTCATTAATACGGCGTTTGTCCACTTATAGTTATAAATTATGAGTTATGGCCATGTTGGCCCATGACAGTTATAGAAGAAAAACAAATGAGTTACAGAGTGGTTCGCTCGGGCCAGTACAACACCGGGTGCCAACCACGCCTCCCCAGGTTGGGGCGTGACATATGGGATCGGGATGCACACTGCAACATGCCATATTGGCTTTATAATAGCGCGTGGACAGGATCCGCCGCTTCGGAGTTTGACATACCAGCAGTGAGCGCAGGCACCATACGGTGTTGAGTGACTGAGTGTGCTGAGTAATTAGTTTAATGAGTGGAAGTGTGAGACATTGAGATTGAGTACATGGGTGCTGAGTGACTGAGTGTGCTGAGTAATGAGTGTGATGAGTTGGAGTACATGGGTTTATCATTGTGATGCATTACATTTGACATGCATACTTGGCATGTAGGCATAAAGATGTATTTCCTCATGCTATACGATGTTGTGACATTCGTGACTTAACATGCACATTGACATCTAGGCATAGAGATGTACTTTCCTCATGCTATGTGATAATGAAATATTTTATTTGTTGTTGAAAGATTTTGGAAAAAATCACAATTTTCTGATATACTCATATTTTGGTGATTCCGTGAAAGATTTGGGTTTTACTGTTATACCTGAAAAGCATGCCTATTTTCCGTAACTATGAATGTGCTGAGCGTCATATCTTTGAGTTATTACTTGTACTGCCTTTATTATATAATCACGAGTTATTCTTGGCTATCAATTTTGGACTCTAATCGTTGTCCAAGCTCGTCACTGCTTTCAACCTAAGGTTAGATTTGTTACTTATTGAGTACATGGGGTCGGTTGTACTCATACTATACTTCTGCATCTTGCGTGCAGATTTTGGAGTTGATGTTATTGTGTATGGCGAGAGCTAGCATTGAAGATATACCTACATTCCGGTTATAGCTGCCTCTTGTTCTTGGTAGCTTTAGATTTATAAATCTATTTATGTATATTTCGAACAGATGATGTATTTATTTTATACTAGCTTTGTAAACTCTAAAACTTAGAAGCTCATGATTTGTACTACCAGTTCTTGGGAAGTTGTATAGAAGTTCAGTTATTTCATCATTTATTTTCTCAGTAAATCTCATTTTGAATTGGATTATTGTTAATTGACTAACCTAGTGGGTTGGGTTAGGTGCCACCACGACTAGTTGGATTTTGGGGTCGTGACAGCAAACCTTAAAAAATTACCTTGTGAAAAAATAGAGATTGGGCAAGATCTTCTGATAGAGATTGACTTTTTCTAATAGAGATTGACCGAAAGAAAGATGAAAAGAGAAAAAGTGAGCAAGAGCCTCTTTCAAAATTCTTTCTTTTGAAAAAGATTGAGCAAGAGTGAGCGTCGGAAAGAAAAGAATGTTTGATACTACCTTTCAGAGAAGTGAAACATCAGGCAGAATGGATACAAAAATGACGGACTCTATTGATCAGACTCGTTAATTTCGCAGCTCGGGAAGAAAGTTTCATAATTCAATTAAAGATAGATAGAAGGGAGACGTGTTTGAGATGCAATACACGTGTTCATATGAGAAGGGCATGAAAGAGGCCTAAGTTCATCGAATGAAAAAGGCCCACGTTTTTAAGGTATAATTCAAATAGCTCTTTGTACAACATATTATTGCAGAGTTCGTCCACCATATATATATATATATATATATATATTGACAGGCTCATATAATAATATTATCTACTATCTCATAAAAAACAAAAAAGATAATAAATATTTTAAATGCAAACTTTATCCTAAATATTTTTCAATTTCTCCAAGAACTTAAATAACAAAATTATAATTCAAGAAAAAATAGTAGAATTTGAATAGACTTGAATGTACATTCAGTGCAAGTTATATGTTCATAAAATAATATTATTTATATATTTCTTTGTGTATAGCGTACTTTTTAAGTAATATTTCGTATACAAAATTATACGTACAATATTTTTCATGCACACTAGTACTAGTATTTAGAAAAGGCAAAACAACTTGAACAAAAGCCATAACCGATGCTAAAAAAAGCAGGCAAAATTCCCAACCGTTAAATTCAAATCACTGCCTTTTCAAGCCCCACTCGCTCATCATCACATGGGATGCGACCACCCCTCCATTTTTACACGTGTTTCATCCAAAGCAGCGAGTAGAAACATCATAAATTCGTTTAGCGAGTGTGAAATGGTTCCAGACACTGTTAAAGCCCCGCCATCGTTTTCTGTCCTTCCCGGGGCATTAAATGATCCGACCCTCTACTCCGTTTCTCACACTAGGACTATAACAATTTCAATAAACAGACAAAACATACAACTGACCATATTTTTCAAGTGGGAAAGTAGTTTCAATTTAATAAGTTAATTATTGACAAAGCCTTAAATGCCATGGAGAATTGCAGAGCAAAAGAACTTTAGAGTGATATAAACGATGACGGAAATGACTATACTAGAAATATTTTCTCATAAAAAGAAATGGAAGAAACATCCAAAACATTGATGAATAAATTGCTAAACAGAAGCAGAAAAACAGACAGAAAGTATACACAAATAAACAAACGCAGAAAAGAAGGGTTGAGGGGGACCCCACGAAGAAGTGAAGTTGCAGAAGAGGTATAAGAGAGAGATAAGATAGCCATAAATGCAAAGCTCAACTAACTTAATAGTTCACATATTTAGGTGTGCGAATGTAAACTCTACCCATATATATGTATACTTGTCGGCACACAAATTTAAGGCTCCAACCAGAATGCAGTAATCTATACTTTTTTGTTGACTAACTCATCTTCATAGTTGAAACAACATCATAGAATGTGGGGTTCGGCGGAGAACCTATCGGTGCGCTCGGCGTCGTTTAGGGAGGATGGTGACGACGAGGAAGCGTTACGGTGGGCGGCTCTGGAGCGACTGCCTACATACAACCGTGTACGGAGAGGGATCTTCAGGAATATTGTTGGGGAGTCATGGGAAGTGGATGTCGATAAGCTCCAAAATGATGAACGCAAAGTCGTCTTGGATCGCCTCGTCAAGTCGGTTGATGATGATTGGGAAAAGTTCTTCAATCGCATGAGGCTCCGTTTTGAGAGGTGAGTTTTTCTTTTTTATTCTAAAATTAAAATCTTATTTATCTCCTCTCTTGTGCATTGGAAGTCATTGGCTGAGAAAGTCTTTGTAAAATTGTGCCCAACTGATGCTCATTTAGATTTGATTGATATTTGTTATTAGTGTCCGTAAGCAGATCGGCATATAAACTGTTGGTATGCTGCATTTAATGTTTGATTCAAATTACATAGAAGATTTAAGGAAAATTTATTAAAAAGAAAAAGTACATTGACTAAAAAGTGTTACTCAATTCCGTCTAAATTCTGGATCTACCCTCATTAAACTAAGACAATCTTGAACCCTGAGCTGCCCCCTTCAGTACACTAGCCTCACTTCGATATTTCTGTTTCTTCACAACAGCAAGTTCCTGGTTTTTCTTTATTTCCTTAATCTCTGTATAAGAGCTGGGAAAACTGTGATATGTTGGTTTATTAATTCTAATCCCATACAGTCTCTCACCTGTGTAGCTACAGTTCATATAATTGGTTCCTGTATGGACAAGACCTGGCATGCTTAATTCATTATAAGCACCTTGTAAATTTTAATAGTTTTGAATTGTATTCTTCCTAAAAGTTTCAATCACTTATGCTTTGATCGTAGATCATGTTCTAGCATAAATTATTACTAGCAGTGAGGCATTTACATTATTTCACTCTTGGAAGTGCAGACAGGGGCGGAGGCAGAAGTCGAGCTACGGGTTCTGCCGAACCCAGTAACTTGTATTTTGCTCAAACATTGTATTTTGTGTCAAAATTTTTATTAAAAAATGTACAAATACTAAATTTAGAACTCAGTCATTAGCACCTTAAGTCATTGTTCTAAAACTCATAACCCATAAAGTTAAAATTTTGCCTCCGTCTCTGAGTGCAGAGTTGATTTGGACTTCCCAAAAGTAGAAGTCAGATTTCAGCATCTGACAGTTGAAGCTTATGTGCATCTTGGCAGTCGAGCACTGCCAACCATTTCAAATTTTATTTTCAACATGACCGAGGTATTCCCCATGCCATCAATTATTACATTAGAGTAGCACTTGATCATTTTAGCATATGACATCTCTCCCCTCTCTGTATTATGTGCAAACATGCCAGGCTTTCTTAAGGCAGCTCAAAATATACTCTGGCAAGAGAACAAAACTGACAATTTTAGATGACATTAGTGGGATAATCCGACCTTCCAGGTATGAATCAATCGTTAACTCCCAAGAAAATTAAGCTGGTGAGAGTATGTTTATTTAAAACATTATGATGTTCATTTCTAGATTAACGCTCTTATTGGGTCCTCCAAGCTCTGGCAAAACCACATTGTTATTAGCACTAGCTGGACGCCTCAAATCTGACTTGCAGGTACTGTCATATCTGAATTTTCATGATTTGGAGGTAGAGAAAGAACATGTTCTGCTAGATAGTAATCTTTTTTTTTCCTCAATATTCTACTAAAACGTTGATCAATTTGAAGACGTCAGGGAATATTACTTACAATGGACATGGTCTGAAAGAGTTTGTTCCCCAAAGGACATCCGCTTATGTCAGTCAACAAGATTGGCATATAGCAGAGATGACTGTGAGGGAAACTATGGACTTCTCGGCATGTTGTCAGGGTGTTGGATCAAAATATGGTAAAGCTCTATGCAAGTCTTCCAGTTTTCCCACATTACCTAAGATGAACTGTTGAGATTTTACAGATATGAAAACAGCCTCTCTGCCCTATCGGGGTAGGAGTAAGGTCTGCGCACACACTAACCTCCCCAGACCTCACTTTGTGGGATTTTACTGGGTCGTTGTTGTTGTTGTTGTTGTTATTGTAAGATGAATTGTTGAAATTTTACAGATATGCTATTGGAACTTTCAAGAAGAGAAAAGATGGCAGGAATAAAACCTGATGAAGATCTTGACCTATTCATGAAGGTAAGTGTGATTTGCTTGAATGGCTTTTCTCTAACTATATATATTATTCTTCTTAATAAATTTATTGCAATTCATACATGATGTATTCTAGGCATTAGCTTTGGAGGGGAACGAGACTGCACTTGTTGTTGAGTACATTCTAAAGGTATTTTTAAATGCTGGCTTACTTAGATTCATGTGGCAGTTTGATATGACATAGATTGTAGTACTGGGTTCTAAAATTGAGAATGAAATGTAATTCATATATAATACCACCTTTCCCGATCTCTTTGTATACCGAACATTAGTATGAATCACTCTCTTACCGCTGTTGTTGCTAAACTCCTATAAGTCTTTAGTAATGTTATAATGCAATGAGTACTAATTTAACGTACCTTATGCTTGGACAGTGGTTTCCCATTCTTGTTGTTACAAGTCAGAATTATGCTATAGGACTTTCTACAAGAAGCGCAAGAAATAGTGCATAACATATGAATGTTTTGGTCAAATAGTTTTCCTTTCAGCCTCCACAAGCACTAACATTTGTCTTACAAAGATTCTAGGGTTAGACAATTGTGCGGACACCTTGGTGGGAGATGAAATGCTTAAGGGGATCTCTGGAGGCCAGAAAAAACGGCTCACTACAGGTGCATGGATTAGATATTTTCTCTTTTTGGAGTGTGCAATGATGTACTCATGTATTTGATGGTTCTTATAGGTGAGTTATTGGTGGGTCCATCAAGAGTGCTCTTCATGGATGAAATCTCAACAGGGCTTGATAGTTCAACGACATACCAAATTATCAAATACCTTCGATATTCAACGCATGCACTCGATGGAACTACTGTTATTTCTCTTCTTCAGCCTGCTCCAGAGACGTATGAGTTATTTGATGATATTATACTTTTGTCTGAAGGCCAGATTGTATATCAGGGGCCTCGTGATGATGCTCTTGATTTTTTTGATTTTATGGGATTTCATTGTCCAGAGAGGAAGAATGTTGCCGACTTCTTTCAAGAAGTAAGTGCGTAGCTCTGCGTCGTGCATAACTTTTTGGCATCTTAGATGCACAGTTTATTTTTTTGTTTATTATCCTACAGGTTGTTTCCAAAAAGGACCAAGAACAGTACTGGGCTGTTTCTCATCGCCCTTACCGGTACATACCAGTGACAAAGTTTGCTGAAGCTTTTCGGTCATACCGCACTGGGAAGAATTTATCGGAAGAGCTAAACATTCCTTTTGATAGGCGCTATAATCATCCTGCAGCCCTGTCCACTTCTAAATATGGAGCGAAGAGAATGGAACTTCTTAAGACCAGCTTTGACTGGCAGCTGCTGCTCATGAAAAGGAATTCATTTATCTACGTTTTCAAATTTATTCAGGTAAAGCCAGCATGAGAATTTGGAGGAAATACACCAAGAAATAGGATTACATTTTTAAGAACAAAAACTTTCCAAGGAAGTTATCAAAAATTAATATAACCTTTGGATGCTTCTGAATTACACTGGTTCCCTGATTGAACCATACATTTCCAGAAGCACATTTTCGTTCTTACGTTCTCTTTGTTGGTTTTCAGCTCCTCCTGGTTGCTTTGATCACCATGAGTGTTTTTTTCCGCACAACTCTGCATCACAATACAATTGATGATGGAGGCCTATATCTTGGGGAACTGTATTTTTCCATGGTTATTATTCTTTTCAATGGTTTCACAGAGGTTTCAATGCTTATTGTCAAGCTTCCGGTCCTTTACAAGCATAGAGACTTACATTTCTACCCATGCTGGGTCTATACGCTTCCTTCATGGGTATTGAGCATTCCAACTTCCCTAATAGAATCTGGTTTCTGGGTAGCAGTGACATATTATGTTGTTGGGTTTGATCCAAGTGTCGCAAGGTAAAAAATTATACTTTTAGATTCACATTTATCTTTATTTGATGCTTCACCCAGTTTTTTACCTACCTCTCTTTGTTTTATTCTCTGGTTTTTTGGTTGGTTTTTCTTCTTTTGCTATGCAGATTCCTTAGGCAATTCTTGCTTTTCTTCTTTCTGCATCAAATGTCTCTTGCTCTTTTTCGCCTAATGGGAGCTTTGGGGCGAAATATGATTATTGCAAACACTTTTGGGTCTTTTGCCATGTTGATTGTCATGGCTCTTGGGGGATATATTATTTCAAGAGGTGAAACTAAATCCTCAAATTGCCATAATCTCTTTTTCATTATGCTCTGTGATAAGTTGATTATTTATTTCCTATTTTCTGTTCTGGCAGATAGAATACCAAGTTGGTGGATCTGGGGTTTCTGGATTTCTCCCCTGATGTATGCTCAAGATGCAGCTTCAGTGAATGAATTTCTTGGGCACGTATGGGACAAGGTGGTCTATTATGATGTCAAGTATCTTAAATTGGTCTTAAGTTTTACATATTTATTTACTGTTCTTGACACAACTGTGAAAAGGCAAGAACATTTAGTTTACTTTAAGGTAAACTTGGAGCTAAATTTTTGAATTGAATTCTTATTAGTGTCTGAATATTTCCTTTTACACATATTAAGAATAGACTGAAATAAAGAAAAGGGAAATAACAGAATGAGGGCCTAAGGTCCTCATGGTTTTTGGTAGTGGTTATGCAATTTTGCCAAGCAACCTTCAGGATCTCTGTTGAAGTCAGAGAATAAGTAGAACTTTGCTTTTCTTTTTTCCACCTAACATTTCCTTTTTCAGAAGAAATTATCCATGTCTTGTTTCAGAAAAATAAAAACTATGAAGTGATTGCATCAAAGAATGAAGCTTGTGGCTTGTATAGAAGAACTCAGCTGTAATATTTTTATGAACATGGACTTCCATTACACAGCTCTTCTACTTGTTAAACTTGCAAGGCTTTGCCATTTCAACCATTTGACCATCCTCTGATCCATGTTCTTTGACATCATATCCACTTCTTTCCTAATAATAGATATGAAAACACTTACCAAAATTTCTTATATGCATCCAGAGAGCAAGCCAGAATTCTGATTTGCGACTAGGTGAAGCATTACTGAAGTCACGCAGTTTATTCACCCAGAGCTATTGGTACTGGATTGGTGTCGGTGCTTTGCTTGGATACACGATTCTATTCAACATGTTATTTACATTCTTCCTGGCCTACCTGGACCGTAAGTCACCTATCTTATATGTGATTCTCTGAACTTATCGTTTGAATCACCAATGAAAAGAAAAACTGGAGATAAAAAAGCATGTTGCAAAGTAACAACAAAAATAAATTCTGTCTTTTGCTCACTTTACATTTCTTCAGCTCTTGTAAAGCATCAAGCTGTGGTTTCTAAGGAAGAGCTTCAAGACAGAGGCACGACTAAGAAAGAAGAACCATCTGTCATTCAGCTAAGAGAATATTTGAAGCATTCTGGCTCGCTGACTAGTAAGAAGACTGCTGTTTATTTAGACGTATTACATTGTAGGGAAATGAACCTTTTCAGGTCAACTTATTCATTCTTAATGTGATTTCCTACTCTATACTGATCAGGACAAAGTTACAAGAACAGAGGCCTCGTTCTACCTTTTCAGCCACTTTCAATGACCTTCAAGGATATCAATTACTATGTTGACATGCCTCTGGTACATACCTCAACCTCTTCTTCCCAAACTTTTCTGTGCATCATTCTATTTCTGAAAACACAAATAATGTTACTTCAGGAACTGAAGCAACAAGGCATGGCAGAAGACCGATTGCAGTTATTGGTTAACATCACTGGAGCATTTAGGCCTGGGGTGCTCACTGCACTGGTGGGAGTTAGTGGTGCTGGAAAAACAACCCTCATGGATGTATTAGCTGGTAGAAAAACTGGTGGTATTATAGAAGGGAACATCCACATATCTGGTTACCCAAAAAAGCAAGAAACCTTTGCTAGAATATCTGGTTACTGTGAGCAGAATGATATCCACTCCCCTTGCTTGACCGTTATTGAATCATTGTTGTTCTCTGCTTGGCTACGTTTGCCATCAGAGGTTGATATAGAGACACAAAAGGTAACACCCTGGAAATTTGTAGATGCTTTTCTTTTTCAGACGTCAAATAACTTTTAAGGAGGGCTTCGGTTTCAGGCATTTGTTGAGGAGGTAATGGAGCTTGTGGAGTTGAGTTCACTAAGAGGAGCTTTGGTTGGTTTGCCTGGAGTTGATGGACTGTCCACAGAGCAAAGGAAACGGCTAACAATTGCTATTGAACTAGTAGCCAACCCTTCTGTAGTGTTCATGGATGAGCCTACATCCGGATTGGACGCAAGAGCTGCAGCCATTGTAATGAGGACCGTAAGAAACATTGTGAACACTGGCCGAACAATTGTTTGCACTATCCATCAGCCCAGCATTGACATTTTCGAATCATTTGATGAGGTATATCTCCTTTATCCAAATGTATAAATCTAGTCACCCTTCTGAGCCACTTTCAAATTGACCGAGGATTGTGCCAAGTTTATTATTTGGATCATTATGTGGTTTGCTGCTTCTTGAAAATTAGAGGCTTTTTCATGTGGAGATGCCAAACAAAGAGATTCTTGCTCAAATCTAGACTTTCCCATGTGGGCATCAAGGACTAAATCATCAGCACATATACCATTCGACTGACTTAGCCATGAGCACTTGTCAAGTGGGGTTTAGCAAGAATTTTTGAACACTTCCAGTGATTACTGGAAAATATTTGCTAGATGTTACTGAGAGAAATGAGGAGGCTTAAGTGCTGAGTTAGTGATGATAAGTTCGGTCTTGTGTTAATAGAAAAAAATAAACAGGATAAGGTGGTCAATAAGTAGAGCAGAGTAGCCGCAGCTTTACAAAAGAAAAAGGCAGTATAGGTGGATTACACTAAAGGAAGAAGAAGTAGCTGAAGAGGAGTAGAGACCAGTAGGCAGAAGCAAGACGAAATGAAACAGTACATGTTCATTACAACTAAAGGCAGTCGAGGTGTTCATTACAACTAAAAGAAGAAATAGCCAAAGAGGGATAGAAACCAGTAGGGGGAATCCACCATTTATAGGGGATCAACACAACAAAACCAAAAACTGATATCATACATATTTTCTTGTTGAAAGCTTATGTGGTGCATAGAATAGTACAAAATGACTGACTGAATATAAGATGTTTAACTCCTTATAATACGATACAATCAAGGAGTGTCAATCCATAGTATAGAATATAGTAGACAAATGTAGTGCTGCTTGAATCTCATTATTTTTTTGCTGATACTCCTTTGATCTCTTCGGAAATGGCAGCTTTTGTTTATGAAGCGCGGAGGAGAGCTCATTTATGCAGGACCTCTTGGTCCTAAATCGTGCAAGTTAATTGAGTATTTTGAGGTTATATACTTACACACATTTTGTTTGCATTAGGTGAATTGCAAGTTTCTTGACAAATGATTGTCTAAAAGCAGTTATTCCTTGTATGTGTATGTAGGGAATCGAAGGGGTGCCAAAAATAAGAGCTGGATATAACCCTGCCACATGGATGTTGGAGGTTACGTCATCAGTAGAAGAAAATCGACTTGGTGTTGATTTTGCAGAAATCTACCGAAGATCAAATCTTTTTCAGTATGTATAATTTTTTCGTTCTCTAACTTTATGTTCTTTTCTGAATGTAACCTTTTCTTTTTTGTACTTCCAGATATAATCAAGTCTTGGTTGAAAGGCTAAGCAGGCCAACTGGGGATTCAAAAGATTTGAATTTCCCTGCTAAGTACTGTCAGTCCTATTTCACTCAGTTCCTAGCTTGCCTGTGGAAGCAAAATCTCTCCTATTGGCGCAACCCACAATATACTGCTGTTCGCTTCTTCTATACACTCATCATATCATTGATGCTGGGGACAATTTGCTGGAGATTCGGTTCAAAAAGGTTTCTTTTTGACACTAATCATAATCTGCATTTTATCCTTGACTATTTTACTGTGAACCTTCCATTCAATTTTCTGTGGTATTAACTAGTTTAATGGCATTGGTATTCTTATATAGAGAGAAAGGAATAATATGATAATAACTGGAATCAACTAAACATTTGTCTTCATTTTGCTGTCTAGTTGTGATGCTAATTTCAAGAACTAACACTTCACTAATATTTGAACAGAATACTTGCACCATTGTATTAACTTGCATTTTGTGTTCCACTGGTCATTGCACTGTCCTATCAAGAAAGTTTTTACTTTGTGCACTCATGTCAAATTCAGCTTTTAGAAGACTGCTTTTGGACATGCGACAAGTTTAGTGGATATATGGAAATATAACAGGAAACCTTTTATCTTCTGCTTTCAAAGAAACAAGACAATATGATTCCTGATGGATTATTATATGAAACACAAGCAATCTCTGTATCTACTCATATGTAAATTAAACAACTAGCACATACGAGTTGCCTCTTGAAGCGTGAACAACTCTCCTCTGTCACGTGAGCCTCCAGTTCCACAGCAACTCAGTAAAGTCTCTACCATCAGCACGATCACAATCGCCGAACATTCGACGGTCTTATACTGTGTTACCCAAATAATATCCGAAAAATAATAATTTTGTGTGGGCAAAATTTCTAGGAAAATTCTTCCTCTAGATCCAAAAAAACTCTCCTCTATGATGCAGGTTTTAAGGGCTAAAACCCTTGTCTAAAACCTGTTGGATTTTCTTTTCCACCAAGAAAAGTATTTCCTTTGTTTCCATTATTCAGGCACAACAGAGACCACAAAATTTAATTAACAAGACTTCCTATTATGGAATTAATTTCGAAATAATAAATTACAAATTATTCTATTAAAAGTTCGTAATTGCATTCCTTAGTTCAATTTCAAAATTCTTCCATCAAATCTTATTTAACTTCCATGTTAGGATTCAGATACTAATCAATTAAATTAAATTACTGACAATCTAATTTATTGAGTACTTTATTTAGACTTTCAATTAACTTATATTATGTGTCGGATACAAAATCTACTGGACGGGTTTACAAATGAAAACTTATAAACTTTCATAAAGTTGTATCATCAATATAAAAATCGAGACATGGATTCCATCAACTAACTATTACTTCACTAATGTATATTATTATTATTATTATTATTATTATTATTATTATTATTATCCAATTTACCAGGCATATTGACCCACGAAAGAATCTCGCCTTTTAATAAATCAAAACATTAATACTATATACAGCTAATAATAATTATATTAAGATTAAGAGTACAAGTACATTTAATGGCTAGAGAATGTAAGTCAGTATAAAATACTTATCTCTACTTAGTCCGTTCAATTTATACAAAATGTACTAGCACAAGAAGTCGTAATTAAACCATTCCCATAATCGAAATAAATTATATTTAATCTTGTGTTACAATCATTCATGATGGCTTGTCCAATTTCATCATCATATTGTGAACTCAAAACTTTATACTTGTAAGAACTAATGGTTTAATCTTCCGTGTATAAGCTAAACTCTATACACTAAATCATCTACTATCTAAACAAAGGACGCAAACTAATATATGATCTATTTAAAAACTTCATTAAAATTGAATAAATAATTGTTCCATAATAAATACTATATCCAAACCCATGGTTAATACTATATATCCCAACAATTCCTTTAGGGAATTAAGGACAGAATTTAGTTCAAAGCTGGAACCATGAAGTCAATCAGTTAGAGAAGACTTGGTACCTCAGAGGGTGTGTCTGATGCTGATACATAGGCGTCAAGGAAAGTTTTTCCTGAAATTTATGATAGAATTGGATCTTTATCTTTTGAAGTTTTCGTTTGTTGTGTCTGCTACGGCAGAACCAAAAGTGGCATTAGCTTTGGTTCACATGCACCTTTTACCCTTACTCTTCGATGGTACTAGTGAGTTGAATTTAGCAAGAATTAGAAGTTATAGCAAACATTAGAGACAGAAAAACAAATCATCTGGGGAACATTCTTTATTTGACTTAGGTTTGGACCAAAATAAGATAATAATACAGCAAAGAGATCCCAAAACATCACATAACTTAAAGTATCATAAATTTCTCTCTCTCTCTCTCTCTTAATTTTTGTCAGCTATCATTTGTGAATGTAGGTTGTGTTGGGGGTATTTTGTGGGTAGTCAATCACTTCGTGAAAGTAGTTGTGGGGGGGTGGGGAGTTATATTTAGGTGCCTGGAAGAGAATTTCGTTCTGCCCATGTATACCTGGAAAACCACAAATGGATGTGAAAGGCAAATATAAGTTGGCTTTTTTCTTTTGACATACAACTAACATTTTAATTCACTCTTGCAAGAGGACGGAGGGGGCTTAATTCTTTGTGCAATACTTACAGGCCTTTGTCCTGATCATTAGTTGTACCTAACTAGTGATATGTTACTGTATCTGAGCTTCTTCATTTGATAACCAAACAGGGACTCACAGCAGGATTTATTCAATGCTATGGGATCCATGTATGCTGCAGTGTTGTTTATTGGAATTACAAATGGCACTGCTGTCCAGCCAGTTGTTTCTGTTGAAAGATCTGTTTCATACAGAGAGAGAGCTGCAGGGATGTACTCAGCTTTACCATTTGCATTCGCTCAGGTGTGGTCTAAAGATTTCCGACTATATCCATTTTGTTAATAGTTAAAAACTTCTTGATCTTTGGTATTAACAGTGCTCCACTTTTCCTATGCAGGTTGCTATTGAGTTTCCTTATGTGTTCGCACAGGCAATAATATACAGCAGCATATTCTATTCAATGGCAGCCTTTGAATGGACTACTTCGAAATTTTTATGGTACATATTGTTTATGTACTTCACTATGTTGTACTTCACCTTCTATGGAATGATGACAACTGCAGTCACGCCCAACCACAATGTGGCTGCCATTATTGCTGCTCCTTTTTACATGCTTTGGAACCTTTTTAGTGGTTTCATGATACCTTATAAGGTAATGAACTAACATTCTTCTCTATGATTCAAACACCAGACTTTCTATTTTGCGCTTAAATCAATGAATATCAAGAGCTATTGAAGACTACTTTCTGACCAGTTTCGAATTAATTGCTGCCAAGTTTGAAATGTGATGGCACTGGAGGTCCTTCGCTAAAACTTGTTGTCTCTTTTGTTTCTAATAGCATCTTCCTCTACTCTTTTGAAACAGAGGATCCCAATATGGTGGAGATGGTACTACTGGGCAAATCCTGTAGCTTGGACTCTATATGGCCTTGTCGCATCCCAGTATGCTGACGATGATAGACTTGTGAAACTATCGGATGGCACTCAGTCAGTTCCAATAAAGCTTTTAGTCAAGACTGTGTTTGGGTATAGGCATGATTTCATTGGGATCGCTGGTTTTTTGGTAGTCAGCTTTAGCGTGCTGTTTGCGGTGATTTTTGCTTATGCAATAAAATCTTTAAACTTCCAGAAGAGGTAACTCTCACTGCTGCAACTTCACTGCGTTTCTTGGAGGTTCATGATCCTGATAGCTGCTTCATGAGGCCGTTGAGCCACTTTAAGTGCATGTAGACATTTAAAATTATACATGTGAAATGAAGATGACATTAGGCAATTTGTAATTCTTTAATGCATGAGGTGATTTGGCTAATAATGATCGTGGATTATTATTTTTGATCTTTGAGTGAAATTTTGTAAAGATACATACGGTAGGCAAGACAGATATGTAATTAACTGTATCGTGAGTAAATAGTTTGAGTTTCTCCTCCCTTGCCATTTTGGAAGAATTTAGTTTCTATATAATTGTTTATTAAAACGGTACAGTTGAATTTGTAGCGTGGTGTAAAGACACGTAAATTTATTTGATCCAGGAATATGAATAAATAAGAACAAAATCAAGATTATAAAAAAAGCTTAAAGGAAATACAAGCCTGCTGTATGATGAGCCTCTCCGGAAGCGATAATAAAAACAATGTTAAGAACAAAAGAAAGCAAATAATTTTATATAGTGAGAGCAAATTATGGCCTTTTGGTACAAATGATTTTCGTGTCCAACTATGGATACAAGTTTTCCTATTTATAGATCTATTCAGGGAGACAAGATCCCCAAATCAAGCTCTTCTTGAATGAGAATAAAAACCTCAATCATGGGTGCATAACGGTCGAACGGTAATGCTTATTGAATGCTGCCTTTTCAAGCTGATGTCTTCATTTATCTTTGTTCTCAGTTCCAATGCCTTCGGAACTTATTCAGCACTGGTCACATGCTTATACCCGGTGCCAACTATTTGCTGACTCATATTTTACCTGTCTTTACTTCCATGTGTCATCTCGTCATTCGTCCAACTGTCGCTAACCAATTTTACCCCATACAAATAGTCTCCCTACTTTTCGGTGACAAAACTTGTGTTACTGGGAAGTAGATAAGACCCTTTTCTTGGCGGGAAAGGTCCTGAACGATTTCTGACACTTGAAATGTCGCACGTCTCCTCCCATTTAATGAGCCGAACACGTGTTATCCCTTGATTTGGCAAATATTTGCGCTAGTTTTCAATGTAATCATACCATGAATTTTGCCGTCTATAAACTTCTCCACTACTCATCACTTTTATTCTTTACTTTTACAAACTCTTCTTCTTCTTCTTCTTCTTTTTCGACTTTTCTTAGAACCCTACTGCAAACTCCCTCTTTCTCGGTAAAATCTCACTACTCAAATTTCTTATCACCATGTCTTCAGCTACCGCTGTTCTCGAAAACTCCGGCCTTCTCTTCGATGGTGGCCCTAAAAAGAATAAAACAAAAGAAATCGATGCTGACTCCGAGCCTCCTATCGTTACCATCATCATACCTCTTCAACTTAACACCCAGTTAGGCCTTCAAATCTAAAAGTAAACTATCAAACCCAATAGTGACAGAAAGTGGAATGTACGCAGGTACCCTTCTTCCATCTGTTCTATTAGTATTCCCGTCGTAGAGGAAGAATACGACTGAAAAAACATCGAAATCTTCGCCCCCAATGAGGTGGAAAGAGTCACCTTCACCAGACCCAGGTTCATGTATGTTTATACATACCCCTTCACTTTGAGATTGGGTCAAGAAATTTATCCCATAATTTTAGAATTCTGCCACCGTTACCAAATCTGTTTAGCTCAAGTAGGCCATGGCGTACGGAGACTTGCTTTCGAAAACTATTCTCCGAGACCGGGGAAACCCTAACTTTCGCACATTTGATCAATCTCTACTCCCCGAAGATCTTCTATAGAGGTGTGCTAAAGCTCAGCAAACGTGGCCATCATGCCATTCTTACCAGCGTTGATGATGACAACGACCGTAGCTGGATGGAACGGTTCGTTGTTATTGCCACCAAAGACATCTTACCGGCAACAACCCCTCCAATTCCTGAATCTCGGAGTCTTATTCGTAAGTCTTTGAATATCTTCCCTTATCGCATTTAAAAAGAATTTCCTCCTTTGTTGACTTTTTACTTTCCTTATTCCAGCTATTCATTAGGAACCACCACAGGTTAAGAACCTGGTCTAATGGGTACAGAAAATCTTGATATTTCTGCACCGAACTCTTGAAGGTGGAAAGAAATGGCTCCAAACTTAATTGGAAAGCCAAAAACCATGGTAAGTAAAGGGCCACTTCAAATAGGTTCATTACTCTGGCCCAGAATACGATTAATCCAGCATGGGCTACATGAGCCCCTAGTAGTTTACCGGATAAATTGAGTTGTCGGGCATTCCTGGCCCACCAAGTGAAACAAAGTTCTTCCCTCCTTTCATTTTCCAACATGATTCCGAATCTGTTTATTGACCCCTTTTTGCAATACATAGGCTTTCCAAGGTGATCTGTTGTTTGCCCCGTTGTTGAGGTTTCTGATGACCTAGAGGAAGCCCATCAACAATTACAAGATGTCCTCAACCGGAAGAGGGCTCATGAAGCCGTTCTTACATTGGGTGAAGGCGCTTCCTCCCGGAGTCCCCAACCCAAGGATAAGAACCTTAAAGAAAACGTACCTCTAAAACTAGGACTCGGGAGAAGACTTCAACAAATGAAGCTCCAACTGGACCAACCACAGTGGTCCTTATTGATGAAGGAACTGATGGTGAAGTGGTTCCTCTTCAAATAAGGGAAAGATCTTCATCAGCTCAACCGGATGCTCAGTCGAGAAAGCTTCGAACACCTCAACCGGGAAAAGTTCAAGGACTCTTTAAGGATATAAAATTGGCTGAAAATGAGAAGTCTCGTTTCTGGACTCATGTCGACGCTCCTGTTTCGAGGAGTTCTACATCTGACATTCCTCCACCATCAACTTCTACACCAACTACAACTGCAAGTCCTTCTACACCAGCTGATGTCCACCGGCCCCAACCGAATAGAGAGAAGATGTTCCTTCCCCACGATCATCCCATCATGGGAATTTAGGGAACACTTACCCGGCACCCACTCAAAATCCTAGTTGAAAATGAAGTGTCATTCTCACGGTTTCGAATTAGTTCCACCTACTTTCCAAGCCGGTGGAGGTCGCTAATTACTTGAAACCATTGGCCACGGATAAAGATTGGAGAAAAATGGATAATTTTCTTGTTGAATGTATAATCAACAATAGCATACACTGTTCAGCCCATGTATCAATTTAATCTTTTTCTCTTTTCTTTTTCCTTGCAAAACTTTGCCTCCATAGCTTCAACTTTAACCTTTTTGGGCTAACCTGCTTGCTTCTGAGGGCCTGCAAAAAATAATTTTGGATAAAGAAGAGCTTACACTGAACGAAATTAACTTGTTGCCGAACGAAAGAAGCTTGTCGAGCGTCGCCCGAGTTTGGAAGCAAAAGTTGCTCAAATGGGCGAGCTTGAGGCTCGATTAGAGCAATCTGAGCAAGATAAAATGGCTCACAACCATGCAGCCACTCAATTACATGATGATCTCAAGGAGGCGAAGAACAAGTGGGTTGAACTGCATGATGCCGTAACTGCCGCGGCCGAGCGTGAGTCTGCCTTTATGGAGAAAATCAATAACTTGGAAGTTAGCTTATGCTCCAAACTGAAGAGGCTACTGCTGTCGAGGAGAAGATAGCCAGAATAGAAGAAAGGTTCAAAAAGGTTATGGAGCAGAACCGGCTTCATGCGAGAAACAATACTGAACTTGATTCCAGGATCAATATTGTGAGAGCTGAAAATGATAAGCTTCAATCCAAAATTGAGAAGCTCCAAGCTAAACTCCAATATCAAGAAGACTATTTCTTCCTCGAGAAAACCTATGCTATTTACCATATGAAGAGGAAAGCTTTGGAGGAAGCCAAAGAAGACATTGCAAACACAAATGATTGCATTGCCAAAGCTCGTGGACTGGAGACAACTGCTCTCGAGAACATCCCTGCTCGGCCCATTGCTTTTGACACTCCGAACACCAGCTCCGAGTATTCGACAACCGAAGAGGAATCTGAAGAAGAAGAAGAAAAAGATAAGGATGACGGCCTTGGTCCGGATACGGAACAACCTTCACCTGCAAGTGAAGCAAAATACACTTCTCTTCCTCCGGACTCTGCAAGCAAAATAACTGATATATTTTTTTTGCTTGTAACTATGCCAAAACTTATTTAAGTTTGATAGTTTAAGTTTTAAGAAATATTTTCCTTATTTATTGTGCAAAAAATATTCCTTTTACTTAACTTATAAAGATCAGAATTGTTTTTGTTTTTATCCGATAACTTTGATCGGGCATTCACACTTCTGGTATCTACCCTTTGACTATGAGGGTTTCATAAGAGAGTGCCTTTATGTATACGGTGCTCTTGAACAGGACGTCTCCTGTTCATTCCGGCACAAGTTTCAAATGAAAAAGAATTTAACCTATCATTTGGACAAGAAATAAGATAAAAACAAAAGGACTTTGATTTATTCCTTCTATTCTCAAAAGTACATTTACATAAATATTCGCTTAAGATAAATAAAGCTTCCAATGCATTTGGCTAACTTGTACAACTTATTTCTACGGGGCTGATCATGCATTCCCCGGTCCTGATAAGATATCACCTCGGTTTGAATAGTTACCAGTCTTCATGACACTTTTAGCGCTCTAATATGCAATAGTTCACCCCCCCAGTGTTTGAACGCTAAGTATGATAATTCAAACACTGGAGATAATCCGAACACTAGAGCTCTTGCTATCGCCGATGACCCTTTCTCCGTAGTATGGTTTACATTGTAACCTCGTTAAAATTCTTGCAAGAGATACTCAATTGGGACAAAAACTAGACGAAGGAAAAAAGAGTGTAGCATATACTTTTAGTATTAACAAAGGTCTTCAGCAGTAATACCTTTTTAGGTGAGTCATGTTCCAATTGCTTGGCATTTTAACTCCTTCTTGATTTTCCAATTGATATGAATATTTACCGGTAATAGTTGAAACCCGGTAATGTCCTTCCCAAGCTGGTCCCAACTTTCTGGCATGAACCTCTCGGGTACTGTGAATTACTTTCCTCAAAACCAAATTTCCAACTTTGAAATAACGAAGATTTGCTCTGCGATTATAATACCTTTTCATCATTGCTTTTGTTCCACCATCCTTACAAATTCTAAGTTTCGATTCTCTTCAACAATATCCAATCGCTTCATCGTTTGCCATCTCGTTTTCCCGAGAATACCTTATAGTCGGTTCCCTAAAATCCAACGGGATGAGAGATTCCTCACCATACACAAGTGAAAATAGTGTTTCACCCGTGCTCGAATTCACCGTTGTTCGATATGCCTAGAACACACCCGGT